CCTAATAGTAACAACTCGGCGCTTGACAGGAGCATGCTTGTCCATTATTGATCTTAATAAGGTGTCATACTGTTGAACTAGATGATCGAGATTGCTGGATGGGTCGATGACGAGAGGGCAGTCAGCAACATCACTAAGAAACGACTCCATGTCAAGAGACCGAAGCTTCCGATAGAAGATAACTTCCTTCCTAAACTGGGGCTTTCTTATGGAGACATCACACATTACCGCCAAAGATCAGAGATGTTAGGATCATAGACTTTGATATTATTGAGCATGTTATCATCAGACTTATTTATAAGTAAGTCAAGAGTATGGCCATTGCGATGAGTCCCAGCACAGACACGTTGTTTAAGGTCAAAAGATTCTAAGATGTCAGTAAAACGTTTGGCATTTACATCATCTTGACAATCCATATGCAAGTTAAAGTCACCAGTAATTAGGACTCGATCAGAAGACTCCACAGTTACAGATTCAAGTAGATGTGAGAATTCCTCAAAAAATCGATTGAAAGAGGAATTATCAGGTGGACGATAGATGACTAAGATCCTGACACTATATAGGCTCCGAAGACGAACATCCATGATTTCAAATGTATCATAATCAACTGTTAATGAAGTGTTGATGTTCAGCACATCCTTAAATAAGATACCAACACCGCCTCCTCTTCCTTGTTTCCTGGGAACATGTAGGAATCTATAACCTGTTGGACACAGTGTTCCAATCTCAACATCATCCATATTATGTGGTCTCAGCCAGGTCTCAGTAAAAGCTAGAATATCTACATCAAAATCCACCACAAAATCTTTAACCTCCATTGTCTTATTACGCACGGAGCGTGTGTTCAGTAGAGAGAAATTTAAGCAATGCGATAAACCATTTTCACTGTATGGAATTTGCGCAGAATTTTGTGAAGAGACTTCAGGCCCAGGATGCGGATGTACATCACCACTAACCAATAGAGATAATACCATGGAGTTAAAAGAGGCCGTAGTATTTGATAGATAATTACTGGGGTTCGCAGCATTATACCCAATAATGCTGCGAACCTCAGTAATTAACTATTATAATTATTGACCCTCATAAAATCCTATTGTTCTCTCTCTGCATTACATCGACGATTTCAGTCGCCCCTTCATATTGATGTTTTGGTACACCAACAATGCAACTGGCAAGCATTGTCCAGTAATAATACAAATTGCATAATCCTTTTTCATTCCCCAATTCAGCCATTGTTAACTACTTGCAAAGATGATATAATCATTGACTCTCATGAAATCCTACTATTTTCTCTCTCCAACAATGCAATTAGCACGTATTGTCTGGTAGTTCTACAAATTACATAACCCTTTTCATTTCCCGGAATTTAGTCATTGTTAAATCCTTGTAAAGATTATGTAACTTTCCACATCTTTCAGGTGTGTGATTGAATTTCATGCAAACGTAATTTGCATTGTATATTAACGCAATGCACTTGGTTATTTGAGTTGTTTGTTGGAAGGCAAAGAGTTGCTACTGTTTTGAAGCTTGATGGAGGATTCTTCGGAAGACGAATCTGCCATTTTCATAACGCAGAGCCAGAGGTCGGAAAATGCCGCTGCCGTTGAAGGTAACTACGCTTTAACTTTTTGGGGGTCATTTTTAAACGACTAAGAAAAGCTTTCCTTGTATTTTGTTATTGTTTATAGAAGAGCAAAGATTCAGAAAACCAATTACGTCTGTTGAGTGTGAAAAATTTGAAGAAAGTTGGGTGTCAGACTCAAGTCGTCGAAAATGGGCGTGGGTGCTGAAAGTCTTTGATCAGTGGATGGTTGAGAGAAATAAAGCCGTAAATGAAATGAGTTATAGTGGTGAACCGTTGATAAACGAGAATCTAGATGAAATGTCTGAAGAGCAGCTGGATTTTGTCTTGGCTCGATTTATTGCCGAAGTTAGAAAAGAAGATGGACAAGAATATCCAGGAAAGACTTTATATGAAATGATAAGTAGTATTCAAACGTTTTTACGTGTGAAATGTAAGAGAAATGTAACTTTGATTGACAAAACAGGTTGTAAATTTAGAAGTTTGAATTCAGCTTTGAATTTTCAAATGAAAGAAAAAGCTGGGCAAGGAATAGGCTTAGCTGTCAACAAGGCTAATCTTATTACGGAGGAACAAGAAAACTATTTGTGGGAAAACGGGTTTTTAGGGAGCGACAACGCAGAGCTGCTTTGCCACACTTTGGTCTGGGTTTTTGGCATTCAGTTTGCTCTAAGGGCTGGGCAGGAACACAGGAATTTGAGATTTAAAAACTCACAGTTATCGCTACAAAGTGACGAATCGGGTAATGAATTCTTACAGTATATGGAGGATATCAGTAAAACTAATAATGGCGGTTTGAGCCATTTGCGTATCAAAAGGAAAGTTGTTCGGGCATATAAGAACTTAACCAATGTAGAGCGTTGCCCAGTTGAGCTGTATAAGAAATACGTATCTCACGTGCCGAAAGAAATCAGTGACAACGCATTCTATTTGCGGGCTTTGCCAAAGCCAAAAGGGGACGTATGGTATTATAATAAAGCTATGGGGAGGGAAACGTTAGGGAACGTAGTTAAGAATATTATGCGAAGAGCAGGTTTTGAGGGGCACTTTACAAATCATTCCCTTCGAAGTTGCGCCACACGATTGTACGAAGGTGGTGTGCCAGAACAAGTTATTGTAGAAACCACTGGTCACCTAAGAGGGCAGAAATAGACGTCAAGGAAAAAAATGAAAAACTGTTTAACAATGATGTTGAGCAAAAATATGATGGACAAAGGGAAGAAACAGGGTTACAGGGGTTAAGCGAAAAGGTTTTAGACGAAAACCAGAGCGAAGATTATAATCAGTCAGTTGTAATTAGTACTCACAGTACGAAAATTGTTATTTCTTACAAGTGAGAAAGACTGTCATTGTCAGATGTGCCCTAAATAAACTGTAAAATGTTTTCGTCTGTACGTCTCCTGGAATGGTACTTCTCATGGTGTATTCATTTACTTTTTAACTTCAGATCTTCATCATAAATTATGCGCGGACATTCGCGAATTTTCAAAAATTACTGAGTGGAAAAGTAACGAAGTAAATACCACAGTAATGCAGCAATATTAAAAATATTGCTGGAAGCAGGCTGCATTATTAAAAATATTGCAGTGCAGCCAGCCCACTGCAATATTGAACGTTTTAGCGCGTTTAGGATTACCCCTGATAATTTCCCTGCTACCAAAAAGGACCGCCACCGTTTTCCTCAGACAGTTAGACTTGACTGAATATGAATACTTTCTCAGGCTGAAATCGCCGATAAAATGCTGAGAGAGAACAATAGGATTTTATGAGGATCAGTAATTATTACTGTAATAAGATATTCTGCTTTTAAACCATTTTCTCTTCCGAGTCCTTAATAACAAACCTTTGTTCGGACTCATAAAGAAAAACATCCCATGGGAGGAGAATGCAAATAAGCTTCTCTGCCAGCGAGTAATCAGAGCATGACTCGTAAAGAAAACCATCCCATGGGAGGAAAATGCAAATGAGCTTCTCTGCCAACGAGTAATATTGAACGTTTTAGCGCGTTTAGGATTACCCCTGATAATTTCCCTGCTACCAAAAAGGACCGCCACCGTTTTCCTCAGACAATTGGACTTGACTGAATATGAATACTTTCTCAGGCTGAAATCGCCGATATAATGCTGAGAGAGAACAATAGGATTTTATGAGGGTCAGTAATTATTACTGTAATAAGATATTCTGCTTTTAAACCATTTTCTCTTCCGAGTCCTTAATAACAAACCTTTGTTCGGACTCGTAAAGAAAAACATCCCATGGGAGGAGAATGCAAATAAGCTTCTCTGCCAGCGAGTAATCAGAGCATGACTCATAAAGAAAACCATCCCATGGGAGGAAAATGCAAATGAGCTTCTCTGCCAACGAGTAATCCAAGCGTAACATATTCCCGGTGAAGTTGGTTCAACAACTCTTTGGAACTGGTTTTCGAAGCTGTCAAACTCAGAGGTGACTTGAAAATCCCCGGGTAAAATTTCCGCACAGCCCCATACTATTGTAAAACAAATCTGTTTTCCCAATGGCAATCTATTGTTTTTGTCATTGTTTTCTCAATCCAAGAACTGAATACCAATGAATGCCAACACATCTCAGTAGGATTATCAACCACAAGGACCAATTTAGAAAACGAATGGCCATCTTTAAGCGCATAAAAGAGTAGATAACACCAGAGCTTGTGAGGACACGTCCGCACCGCACCGTGCATCGACAACAGGTACGGATAACTCAAATGTTTTTTTTTTACTACATCCAAGTAAACAACCTGAACCACAAATTTCTCTAGCCCCTCACGTCCGTTTAGCTCGCACTTTAGGGTATCGTGAGTGGTGACAGGAAGGCTATGGAACTTGAGACACATCACATATACCAGCACATACGACAACCGTTCATTTCCTTCCTTCTGAGCAATTAGGTTTATTGGAGAATCTCTCCATCGCTAGTAAGAAACTCCTGACGTTACATTCACAGAGGAAATAGATACCTTCCAATTAAATAGCATTTACAATTGCATAAAAATTTTTGGTAATATTGTGGTCTTGTCATTCCCATCTACGTCAATGAATCGTACCGATCATGTATTTGCCTTTGTTTTGAGCCCAATGTCGTAGGCGTTTCTTCGTCCTCTTTGACAGACGTTTCTGATATTCCAACATCATTGTCGGGAAACAATTTTCGTATCATCCATGTTGACTCGCTATCATAAGTGTCTCACAGAAAAAGAGACCTTTTTCGGAGCAACTTCAGAATACCCCGCAACTCATTTACATGTCATTGAATAAGAATAGCGTCTATTGTGTTATGCCTCGATCTTCAAAGCCTCCCGACACATGTAAGTGAGGCGGACCAAAGTTGCGGGGTATTCTGAAGTTTAGCCCCTTTTTCTACTCTAACCATTATTGTACACCAAAATGTAAATCAAAGGAAACTTGAAGTTGTGACGATAGTAAAACCCAGACGACAAGACAAACATTCACAACATTCATATTTTCCGAGAGTGGCCATGCTTATCGAAAACACGGATGTTTGCGTCATTCAAGAGCCACTTCTCAATCTCTTTCAATTCGGCTAAATATAAGAATGAATTTCTTAATTAAAAAGATATTGCTTTATTCTTTCAAAATTCTCTTCCACGTAGACAATCAGACCACCCCATTCAAGTGCTATTTTGGAATTTTTCGAACAGCATAAAAAGGGAGGGAGTTTGAGCAAAAGGTACATCGTCCGATAGCGGTACAACCATGGCTAGAGTTCTTCGCTTCCTCGCTGTTTTACTGGCAGCTATAGCTGTCGTAAATGCTGAAACCTTTGAAGATAATGCTGATAATCCTGAAGAGGTGGCAGCGAAATCCGAGCTTCTAAACTTAAATGAAGGTTTAGAAAATCCTGCTGATCAAGTAGAGTACAAAGGTATGAAAATTGACCTTTTCTTTAAAAATTTCTTTAAAAAGATAAGACAGTAACTTAATTCAGTCTCCTACAAATGTGCTTCCGAGACGAATGGTTTCTCACTAGTTTTAATTTCACGCACTATTTACAGTATTTTAATTTTTTTGTGTTGTATAAAATTAAACTGTTCCAAGCTTATAAATGAGGAAGGTGGGTGCACAAAAAATAATATTCGATGGATGAATTTTAAATCTTTTTTTGTATCGACAAGATGTAGATCTTACAGTGTAGTCTGTGCGAAATAAGAAGTCAAAAGAGCAGCCTTAATTTCAATTCGAGGTTTTTCTTTGAGTTTTGTGAGGCTTAATTGTTTTTGTACTCTTTGCTTCTTTACATCTGTTTTCCCGTTTTTATTATCTCACTGGACATGATGTACAGTTTCAGATTTCTATTCAGTGTGATTGTAACCGTTTTTTCTTTAAAGAACTTTCTTTCTAGCCTCAAGCCTCCCTTTTCAAATGAATATATATCTTAATAACTTTAAATTAACATGTGTGTATGCTAGACTAAGAATGATGGAGTAACCTCGACCACAAGTTTCTCAAATAATAGTGATTATACATTCCACAATCAACCACTCAATCAATCAATGAGGTAATCGGTTAAGAGTGCAATCAATGAGTCATTCAGTCACTCATCCATGTTAACAACTTGATACTCATTCAGCCGAAGACAGCGAAGAAGCGGAAGAAGAACAACTAGAAGATGCTCCTATCGAACGAGACACCATGAAAGAAGAAACTCTATACGAGGCCACCGAGGATGACACTCAGAAGGAGAGTGACCCAGGTGGGGTAAAACACCTTTCTAAAACTAAAGCACGACGTAGGCAAAAAAGATGTTGGAACTATTCTCTTGATGGGAGAAATCTTAAATTCATTTTTCCGATTACATCATGCCACTGAAATTTCTCTTCAATCGCTAAGTTTAAAATATACCATTTTGCTTCGTTTCTATCAATCATTCGATCAGTGATTTCTATAAATATAACTACTCTTTCAGGCGAAGACAGCGAAGAAGCGGAAGAAGAACAACTAGAAGATGCTCCTATAGAACAAGACACCATGAAAGACGAAATTTCATACGAAGCTACTGAGGATGATACTCAGGAGGAGAGTGACCCAGGTGGGGTAAAACACGCTTCCAAAACTAAATCATGATGTTGGCAAAAAAGACGTTGAAACTATTCTTCTGATGGGAAAAATTATAGTTGCTAACTATATCCGTTGCTAAAGGAAAAACATAAATTATTTACACTTGACTTTTAAGAGTTCTTGTGAAGTTGACGTTTCATATTTGTGTAATTACGTTAAACGTATAGTACTTTTACAAAAAACAAAATTCCCCTGGTTGGAATGAGGAGGTCATCAATATCTCAAAATGTTACCCCATGAGTCAACGATTCTACGGACATGTACGTTCATTTAAAGTATCCCTCGCAAGTAGTTCGTTGAAGTTGTACTTCTGCCATGAAAAACAAAAACTGGGAGGTGCATTCATGTACAACACGGTTTCCTTGAATCACAATGACTACATTGCAAGCGTAACAATTGACAAATAACCTCCACTAACCAAACATCGCAGCTATTAATGAAAATAATACATTTAGTCTCAAATGTTTTCTGAAGATAAGCTTTGATATTCAGCTTTATCAACTCAGTTAATAAAACTAAATTATCTAGAGATATAGAAAGCCTTAAGGAGCCATACTGATTGATACCTCGTGTTCTTTTTAACATCTATTTTGCGTTTCTGTACGTTCATGTTAATAACTTAGCACTCTTTTAGCCGAAGACAGCAAGGAAGCGGAAGAAGAACAACTAGAAGATGCCACTATGGAACAAGACACCGTGAAAGATGAAACTTCATACGAGGCTACTGAGGGGGAGAGTAACCCAGGTGGGGTAAAACACCTTTCCAAAACTAAAGCATGATGTTGGCGAAAAAGATGGTGACACGATTCTTCTGATGGGGAAAATCATAGTTGCTAACTATATCCGTTGAAAGGGAAAAACATAAATTATTTACACTTGACTTTTAAGAGTTCTTGTGAAGTTGACGTTTCATATTTGTGCAATTACGTTAAACATATAGTGCTTTTACAAAAACAAAATTCGCCTGGTTCGAATAAGGTCATTAATATCTCAAAATATAACCCCATAAGTCAATGATTCTACGGACATGTACCTTCATTCAAAGTATCCCTCGCAAGTAGTTTGTGGAAGTTGTACTTCTGACATGAAAAACAAAAACTGGGAGATCATTCATGCACAACACGGTTACCTTGAATCACAATGGCCACATTGCAAGCGGAACAATTGACAAGTAACTTCCACTAACCAAACATCGCCGTTATTTATGAAAATAGTATATATAGTCTCAAATGTTTTCTGAAGATAAGCTTTGATATACAGCTTTATCAACTCAGTTAATAAAACTAAATTATCTAGAGATATAGAAAGCCTTAAGGAGCCATACTGATTGATACCTCGTGCTCTTTTTAACATCTATTTTGCGTTTCTGTACGTTCATGTTAACAACTTAATACTCTTTTAGCCGAAGACAGCGAAGAAGCGGAAGAAGAACAACTAGAAGACGCTCCTATAGAACAAGACTCCATGAAAGAAGAAACTTCATACGAAACTACTGAGGATGACACTCAGGAGGAGAGTGACCCAGGTGGGGTGAAACACCTTTCTAACACTAAAGCATGAAGTAGGCGAAAAAGATGTTGAAACTATTCTCTTGATGGGAGAAATCATAGATTCATTTTTAGGATTACATCATGCCACTGAATTTTCTCTTCGATCGCTAAGTTTAAAATGTACCATTTTGCTTCGTTTCTATCAATCATTCGATCAGTGATTTCCATAAATATAACTACGACCACGAATGTCCTGTAGCTCACGAGAGGAGTTTATGAATTGGAATACGCCTAATTTTCCGTTGGAGAACTGGGATTTAAGGCTGGGAATTTCATGGAATAGTTTGCTAGAAACCCGGTTCGATTATCTAATTTTTTGGCAATATTTTCCATTTTCTTCAGAGGATAATATTACCGAGACAATTAATAATAATTTTTAAGGATTTGATGTTCTAGTCTAGAAACAATTCGATATATTGTGGATGAGAAATTTTTTCTTTAAATTCCCAACAGAAAACAGTGAAGAAAACGAGGAATTGGCCGAAGAGCAAGATGAAGACTATTCAGGTAAAAATTACAATCCAAAAATGTATCTTCACAACTTGTGAATCACACCAATTACTTTACTCCTTCTTGAGCAATTATTGTTTGCATAACGAACTACTCGCTCCTTCTTCGTTTCATTAGATTCAGACCGAGAAGAGGATTTCTTAGACATGCCAAAGGAAGACATTGCTAATCGTCCTCCCCTGAGGTGTGGTCTGCGTCCCTACAACCCAAAGACTCACAAATGCTGCATCTACGGAATACTGCGTAAGGTGGTTTCGAGATATGCATCTTGCCCTCGTCCTCCCCCGAAGTGTGGTCTGCGTCCCTACAACCCAAAGACCCACAAATGCTGCATCCGCGGAATACAGCGTAACGTCGTTCCGAGACATGTATCCTGCCCTCGTCCTCCCCCGAAGTGTGGTCTGCGTCCTTACAACCCAAGGACCCACAAATGCTGCATCTACGGAATACAGCGTAACGTCGTTTCGAGATATGCATCTTGCCCTCATCGTCCCCCGAAGTGTGGTCTGCGTCCTTACAACCCAAGGACCCACAAATGCTGCATCTACGGAATACAGCGTAACGTCGTTTCGAGATATGCATCTTGCCCTCATCTTCCCCCGAAGTGTGGTCTGCGTCCTTACAACCCAAGGACCCACAAATGCTGCATCTACGGAATACAGCGTAACGTCGTTTCGAGATATGCATCTTGCCCACGTCCTCCCCCGAAGTGTGGTCTGCGTCAATACAACCCAAAGACCCACAAATGCTGCATCCGCGGAATACTGCGTAACGTCGTTCCGAGATATGTATCCTGCCCTCGTCCTCCCCCGAAGTGTGGTCTGCGTCCTTACAACCCAAGGACCCACAAATGCTGCATCTACGGAATACAGCGTAACGTCGTTTCGAGATATGCATCTTGCCCTCATCGTCCCCCGAAGTGTGGTCTGCGTCCTTACAACCCAAGGACCCACAAATGCTGCATCTACGGAATACAGCGTAACGTCGTTTCGAGATATGCATCTTGCCCACGTCCTCCCCCGAAGTGTGGTCTGCGTCAATACAACCCAAAGACCCACAAATGCTGCATCCGCGGAATACTGCGTAACGTCGTTCCGAGATATGTATCCTGCCCTCGTCCTCCCCCGAAGTGTGGTCTGCGTCCTTACAACCCAAGGACCCACAAATGCTGCATCTACGGAATACAGCGTAACGTCGTTTCGAGATATGCATCTTGCCCTCATCGTCCCCCGAAGTGTGGTCTGCGTCCTTACAACCCAAGGACCCACAAATGCTGCATCTACGGAATACAGCGTAACGTCGTTTCGAGATATGCATCTTGCCCTCATCGTCCCCCGAAGTGTGGTCTGCGTCCTTACAACCCAAGGACCCACAAATGCTGCATCTACGGAATACAGCGTAACGTCGTTTCGAGATATGCATCTTGCCCTCATCGTCCCCCGAAGTGTGGTCTGCGTCCTTACAACCCAAGGACCCACAAATGCTGCATCTACGGAATACAGCGTAACGTCGTTTCGAGATATGCATCTTGCCCTCGTCCTCCCCCGAAGTGTGGTCTGCGTCAATACAACCCAAGGACCCACAAATGCTGCATCTATGGAATACTGCGTAAAATCGTTTCGAGATACGCATCTTGCCCTCGTCCTCCCCCGAAGTGTGGTCTGCGTCCCTACAACCCGAAGACCCAGAAATGTTGTGATCGTCGAATAATTGTTTCCATATATGGTAGTTGCCCTCTGAAGTACTAGTGGTTTCTTAAAATCCAGTGATCTACAAGGTACCTTGACCAGAGAGTCAACGAATTTTTCCTCGTGAGAGTTTACATAAAAAGTAACAAAATGGGTAAAGCTGCACTACTTAAAGTAAAACTTATGAGCAATTAATATGCTAATCTAACGACGATGCTCATGTTAAAGACATTTATGTAATGTTCGGTTGAAATAAACTTAAATGCTTTCCTCATTAATGTGTTGTTGCTGTCATAGAAATGAGGGGTTTCCCCATCAAATTTTGCTTGCACAATTTCCCTGGAATCCTTCCTTCGTCTCGTTACTCACGTCATTTCGTTTTTACATGCAGCTCTGAATTTGTAGCTGCCTTAAGGTTTAGCTTTCCTTGGTCTATAAGCGTGTGAACATTAAATGGCCGAGAAATTAACCTCAGCACTAACCTGGTAGAGATCACTAACCTGGTTCTAGTCCTTCTCTTCTGGTCCTTTGTTAGCGAGCAAAGACAAGTTATGCTATTAACTGAACATGGCTGAACACAGTTTTGAGTGCGTCGTGGTTTTCAATTGATGGGAGACATCGTGCTAAGAGTCAAACAATAAAAAAAAATATCCCTTACACAAGAATGACTCAATTTTAGTTTCATGTGGGTTGTTTTTCCTTGAAAACTATATATATATCAATCTGAAGCTTAAAAATGTGGAATCAGAAGAAATGATTACCTTGAAGAATAAACTACACAGTGGAAATCAGCGGTTGATGGAGTGCGAAAACGTGCGAGGCTTTTTCAACAATCCGATCGGTTTTCGAGGAAATCATCATTGAACACGGCAGAGGGAGAAGTATTTGCACACCAGTAGCTATCGCGGTCAAACCGCCACCTAATAAAACACGAGCTTCAGAGCTTCGGACTCCTAAAGATTCTAAATAAAAATAGCATTTTGTGATTCGAGGAAGATGTGTTATGTGCAGTCAACTCTCAAGTCGTAAAAGGGAAAGAGAGGTCTAAGAAAAAAAAGCGCTAACCAGCGTAAGAGCAGAGAAGAAGGGAAAAACTAAAGGCGAAATCAGCGGCCAAATCGATCAACCGGCGATCCCAAATACAACAAAACGTGGCGATGAATTTACTCAGGTCTCTAAAAGGTTTTTTTATCCACCGTCAAACCTCTTTCAACAAAATATACCTATCATTGTAACTGGAGTCCCTTTGATAAACTTTGTCGCGAAAAAGCAGAGGAGTAGCTTACCCTCAATGTCCTTAATGTGACAAAAACAACTTTTAGCTCTATATAAATTAATCTCAAGAACAGTTTTTCCTCGACATCTCACTAACATTTAGTGATCTTAAATTATTTTTCCACCAAACTGCAAAGAAATATTTTAGCTGAAGAATGAGTGAAGACAGTTTTTCTCGCAAAATTCGGCCCCTGAAGGTCTGTAAAATCTTAACGCGATCATTTAGGGTCCTACATTGAGATTGTCTCGCGGGGTCAGTTTTAAGGATCATTCGTGTTCAGGGATCATTTGCAGTCCTGGGATGCTTAACAGAGCGGCATGGTACAACTTCCATGTTATCTATCGCCACGGAAAACCTTTCTTCCTCTACACATCGATATGTATATTCTCCATACTGTTCTTGGTATATTTCCTAAGGTGCAGACAAAGAGAATTTGTTTAAAAATGAAGAGCCTCTTTGGTCTTTAGTTAATTTACTTTATTTTCGTGACTTTCATGTCTGACTTAGGGGTGACATTGTAAGGAGAAATTAGATGCCAGTCACTCCTCAAAGGGTCAATGAGTCAATTACTTGGAGTTTTTAATTTTGAAAGTAGAGTCTCAGTGAGCAGTGAAGAGACGTGTCTGACCATCATAGAAAACTACAAAGTGACAGCACTGGAAACGTCTCTCAAATTTAAAATGCTACTAAATTGTCTAGTCAAACGGGAGAACAACTATATCAGTGGTGTCAAGTATGATTTGATTTTGCAATCGTTCACTAAAACATTATTGATCATGTAATAAGGAGAACGTGATGTTCCTTTGTCTAATATCAGTGAGTGTTCGTTTTAACTTTTCTCGGCGGATATTAGCTGTTTTTGTCGACCTTGTCCAATATAAAATTTGCAAGCTTGTGACGTGAGCAATAATGCTAAACACCGGTTGAGTGTAGTATGGAATTCTTGGTCTTGTTCTGTAGAACTGAAGCATAAGTGCATGAAATTTCTTCTTCTGCTCGCATGGATTGTAGAATCGAATCGAAACTGCTGTGATTGTATAAATTTATGCTTCACTAATTTAATTAAAAGTTACCACCTAAATGAACGATAAGCCAGAGGTTTAGATTACCGACTGAAAAAAAAAAAGAGCAAATCAGTGGACGACTGTAATATGTCATTTGATGATGAGGGAGGGAACTTGATTTAATATTTGATAATTTCTTCCGTTTCACTTTGTTTCTTAGTCAAAAATCTGCCGATTTTATGTGTTAATGAAATGATATACAAAGGGAGAGCATCAGGGGACAAAGAAAGGGCTTTTTGTCCATGTTTAAGGCGGGCATGTCAAGACTTTAAAAGTACTATTTATGGATAAACTATTATCTCAGACGCTCGCAGGAAAGCATTATGGAAGCTTTGTAATGGTGGATAGCCTTGAGATCAGTTTTATCGATGCAGACAACTTCAGAAATTGAGGGAAATCGTTTTTCTTGCGCGAAAGATCTAAGTGCAGAAGTCTGAGAAACATGCAGACGTTTGTTTCCTGACTAAAACTAATAATAAATTTAGCGAAATCGACATATCCCAACCAACGCCCTGACTCTCCTTCCCAAGCCTTCTCGTTCTGTTGTATACAGATTTGTTATGAGCTTAACCTCTGGACTCAAAATGTTTGCAGAAACAAAGAGGCAGATAGATCAAAAGTGAGGATAACATAGAACATAACCTGTAAACTCGAGGAGGTTTATTCGAGAGAGAATATAATTTGTAAACTCAAGAGGTTCGCTCCAACAAAGAGACAGATTGGTAAGAGTGTTGATTAAAATGACAACAAATTTGAAAGAAAATCTCCATACAGGAAGGGAATATAGTTTCATTAAAAAATGTATTTTTTAACAGTTTGAGTAGCTTTGGTTTAAAATAGGTCAGCATTAAATCGGCTATATTTCTACTAGTTTATTTAAAAGGAGTAGAACATACTTAATGGCCGCATTCAATCTACACAAACTATTAAATAGGCATACAAAATTAAGTTAGTTAACTTAATTAAGTTAATTGATTTGAACAATGGTGTTTGGGGAAGCTGTAGACCTGTTGTCTGGTGGCCTAGTTTGAGGCTTCCCCGAGAAAATACCCTCTGTCCTTTGAACTTTCTCAGCGTAGTTGCAAAAGTGGTATTGTCTGGCACAACTGTCGGTTTTTCTGTCTTGAAGACCTCCCCTGAGTTTTTATCACGTCTAATGACGCAGTCTATTGATGGCTTTGCTTAACGATATGCCTGATAAACATTCGACACTATTATCGTAATTACCAGTACTATATTTTACTTCACAGCTCTTTCGTTTAATTTAGAACTTCAGGAAAAGAAAGGAAAAATCCCGTGCCGTCTCCAAACCTTAAGAAGAAGATAATGTAAGCAAAGAAATAATTTTGAAGAGAAAAGTCATCTCAACGAAATCTGTTTTTTTTTAATTTTTTTTTTCTGTTTTCTAAAAGATAATTTGAATCCCTCAATATAGAATCTTTTACTAGGAACCGTAGTGCTGGGGAGGATTCAATTCCAACGGTCGTTTCTTCGACAGATTTCAACTTTGAGTGACTTTTAATACAGTTAATACAGTACCCTTCAATACACCATATGCTACCCTTCACATCAGTTGTCGGGTCAAACCATGCGGCTACTTCAATACGCTAAAATATTACCAAGAAAATGCGGATATATGAATACACATGCTCAATAAAGGAAGTACTAAACTGAAATTGCATTAAACTCATGATCATGGATGTTTTCAGAGGTTGATGTCTATATGGAGATGTACATATATACTGTGAAACAAAGTTACGATGATTGAAATTCGCCTTAATTGTTATTTTCCAAAAACTTGACCCAAACTCCTCAAGGCGTAGTGACACACGTCTTACCATACCGCAGCGAACGTTTTTCTCAAACTTGATGTTAGAGACATTCTGCAAAAAACCCAACCTGCATGTAACCGAGCGAATTGGATATTACACCACACAAACGGACGAGGCTCTTTTTTTCCATTTTCATAGGATGTAAGCGTATCTAGAGAAGTAGAGATGAAAGCACTTAGCGCGTCATGCATCTATAAAAAGTAATATCACCGAGTGCTCATGTACGGAAACCTGTTCTCAGCAGATATTAGCTTTCATAGTCCAACATAAAACTTTGGTACGAGTGCATAGCACAAGTAATGTTACTTTACTACTGTTATGTGTTATGTGGAACTTTGACCAACCAAAACTGAATCAAATCGTAACGCTTCAATAAATCAAATTGCAGCGACTGCTCTAATTTGCGTCATTCTTATGCAGAGCAATTTTTACCGGTAGTAATTAGAACAGTCAACACTGATCGAAGGTAAATGACATCGATGAAATTCTTCCTCTTGATATTGAAGCCCTTCTTTTGTAATAAAGTGTTTCTGTTTCGGTGAACACGAGGGCAGAAATTTTGAGAAACTAGACGTTACTGAGGAAACAATGTAATTGGCAAAATATCCGCCCGAACAACTCAGTCCTGTGACTCAACGAGCTGATATTTGTCATTTGTAGTAGGAGGGATCTTGATGAAGTATTTTTCGCTCTGGTGAAATTTTGAGAACAAACAAGGAATGGAAAAGCCTAATCTTAGAATGGCCATGCGCGACTTCCGTACATTTTAGTTTTCCAGCGTATCACCGAGGACCCAGGTGCTACAGACTAGCATGCAGGCAAATATACGTAAAAAGAGACTTTTGACTGTTACTGTTTTTCTCTTGCCAGCTCCAAAGCCTGCTTATTGAATATCATGATAACTTAATATACAAATATTTCATAGATTTGACCAGTAACTAAAGGCTATGGAGATAAATAGGAAGATTGAGAAAACTAAAATGAAGGCTCTGTTCACGCAAATAAATGAAACCTAGTTTCAGCAATAGTTCAGATACAGTGTATTTATACTGTTTGAATTTATTTAACGGGAACAAGATCGAAGTTATAGTGGCAAAATACCTACTTGTCTATTTTTATCGACAAGAACATCGGCCGTAACAACAAAGAAATTTTCACATGCTCTTATTTTAGCATGCACATCCTAGCCTTGATTGCTAAACGTTCGACTAACATTATCTTGGGTGGGCGGCAAATAAAAGCTACAGGCTTTCACGGCGCTCGTACATGATCTGGATTAATGCCAATCTTGACTGATTCGACCCTCTAGGCCTCAGCATCCTATGCAAACTTCCTGATTACCTAAACCCGTATCTGTCAGTTGGCGGAGGGCTCAAGAAAATGACATGGTTCTTTTTAGTTTTTAACGTAATTACGATGCTAAGGCATGTTATAGACACGGTCTCTAGCAGTGAATGTTGGAGGATAACTTGGTTCTTTAGTCTTGGAGTTTTAGATACTTCATTTGAGTACTGAGTATGTGCAGTGAGATAGTTTATCAATGTTTTCTACTGAGCTACCTGCAAGATTGTAAAAACTGTCGATCTTACAAGGTATTCGGACCACATGGATAATGTAAGTCACCCACTTTCGGTGGACTAAGTCATCTGGGATTAATATTATTTCACATATCAATCGAGAGTAAAACTGAGGAGAAAACCAGTGTTATTTTCGCACTTTAATAGGAAAATGATCCAACCATGTCAAGAATCTTGGAAAAAAGGCACGTCATCATAAGCGAAGTCCGATATGATTTATTAAAACCTCTCTGGTCCTCATATTGACGTTGACAGGAAGTGCATCAACATTGCAGACTATTAATGGAAACATTTTTATTTCCTGCTTATTGAGCACTAAAATTTGAAATATCGGTAACAGTTTCTTTCTTCCCAATCACAGGGCCTAAGTCGAGAGATGCCACCCTTGAGCTCAGTTCAAATTTTTTTTTTTAAAAAAAAAGGCCACTGTAGGACATCAGGTACGGAAAAGTCAAATGTTTTTTTTGATTTTGACTACATCCAAGTAAAACAACCTGAACCGCAAATTTCTCCAGCCCCTCACGTCCGTATAGCTCGCACTTTGTGGTATCGTGAGAGGTGACAGGAAGGCTATGGAACTTGAGACACATCACATATACCAGCACATACGAGAACCGTTCATTTCCTTCCTTCCTTCTGAGCGATTAAGTTTAACGGAGAATCTCTCCATTGCTAATTAGAAACTTCTAACGTTACATTCACAGAGGAAATAAATACCTTCCAATTTAATAGCATTTACTTAAGCATAAAATTTTTGGTGATATTATGGTCTTGTTATTCCCATCTACGTCAATGAATCGTACCAATCATGTATTTACTTATGTTTTGAGCCCAATTTCGTAGGTGTTTCTTGGAAAACAATTTGTGATGGTCCAAAAATAAACATCTGAAACATCCTCTGAGACAGACGTTTCTAATATTCCACCATCATTGTCGTGAAACAATTTTCGTAGAAGCCATATTGACTCGCTATCATAAGTGTCTCACAGAAAAAAAGAGACCATTTTCTACTCCAACCATTATTGTACACCAACATGTAAATCAAAGAAAACTTGAAGTTGTTACGATAGTAAAACCAAGACGACATGACAAACATTCGCAAACGTTTCAGAAACTATTGGTCAGCAATCTAATATTTTTGGAGAGTGGTCATGCGAGTGGTCATCAAAAGCATGGATACTCGCGCCATTCAAGAGCCACTTTTTAATCTCTTTCAATTCGGCTCAATATATGAATGAATTTCTTTGTTAAAAAGATATTGCTCTATTCTTTCAAAATTCTCTTCCACGTAGACAATCAGACCACCCCATTCAAGTGCTATTTTGGAATTTGTCGAACAGCATAAAAAGGGAGGGAGTTTGAGCAAAAGGTACATCGTCCGATAGCGGTACAACCATGGCTAGAGTTCTTCGCTTCCTCGCTGTTTTACTGGTAGCTATAGCTGTCGTAAATGCTGAAACCTTCGAAGATAATGCTGATAATCCTGAAGAGGTAGCAGCAGAATCCGAGCTTCTAAACTTAAATGAAGGTTTAGAAAACCTCTCTGATCAAGTAGAGTACAAAGGTATGAAAATGGATCTTTTCTTAAAAAATTTCTTTGAAATGATAAGAAAGTAACTTAATTCAGTCTCCCACGAATGTGCTTCCAAGACGAATGATTTCTCATTAGTTTTTATTTCACGAACTATCTACAGTATTTTAATTTTTTGTATGATAAAAAATTAAACTGTTCCAAGCTTATAAATGTGGGAGGTGAGTGCACCAAAAAAAAATATTCAATGGATGAATTTTAATTTTTTTATATCGACAAGAGGTATATCCTACAGTGTGGTCTGTGCGAAATATGGAGTCAAAAGAGCAACCTTAATTTCAATTTGAGGTTTTTCTTCGAGTTTTGCGAGGCTTATTTTTGTACTCTTTACTTCTTTACATCTGTTCCCCCGTTTTTATCATCTCACTGGACATGATGTACAGTTCCTAATTTTTAGTCAATATGATCGCAACCGTTTTTCCTTTAAAGAACTTTCTCTCTAGCCTCAAGCCTTCCTTTTCGAATGAATATATATCTTACTAAATTTAAGTTAACGTGTATGTATGCTACACAATGTCTAGGAATGATGGAATAACCTCGACCACAAGTTTCTCAAATGAAAATGATTCAACATTCCATAATCAAATCACTCAATCAATTAATGAGTTAATCGGTTAAGAGTGCAACCAATCAGTCCGTCAATCAGTCATTCAGTCACTCATCCATGTTAACAACTTAATACTCTTTCAGCCGAGGACAGCGAAGAAACGGAAGAAGAACAGCCAGAAGATGCTCCTATAGAACAAGACACCGTGAAAGAAGAAACTTCATACGAGGCAGCTGAGGAGGAGAGTGACCCAGGTGGGGCAAAACACCTTTCTAAAACTAAAGCATGAAGTAAGCTTACAAGATGTTGAAACTATTCTCTTGATAGGAGAAATGATTCATTTTTCCGATTACATCATGCCACTGAATTTTCTCTTCGATCACTAAGTTTAAAATGTACCATTTTGCTTCGTTTCTATCAATCATTCAATCAGTGATTTCCATAAATATGACTAAGACCACGAATGTCCTGTAGCTCACGAGAAGAGTTTATGAATTGCAATACGCCTAATTTCCGGTTGGAGAACTGGGATTTATGGAAGGGAATTTCATGGAATAATTTGCCAGAAACTCGATTCGATCAGCTAATTTTTTGGCAATATTTTCCATTTTCTGCAGAGGAGGATGCCCAAGAAGACTATCCACAAGATGACGATGAAATAGAGCATGACATGGGTAGAAAATTATGTTACTAACAGTTGCCAATACCTCGAAATTACAGACGAAATGTAAAATAATATTGACAGCCAATACAACATTCAGCGGAAGAAAATAAATAGTTTGTTTCCAAATGTACTAATTCATCTTCATCCGAGTGATCAATTTCCTATCAAAATTGCTAACACGAATGACAATTTGTAATTTTAAAAGATAAAAGACCCAAGGTCTGACACAAACAGCTTTCAGTGGCTATCTATCTGATCCGTTTGACATCATGATTGGTTCAAATTGACCCAGTATCTTTTATGTAATGGATCAGGACTGTCCATTAATATAAACCCGATTCCCTTCGCTAGTAAAAGAAATACAGCAACGAACTGGTGCTTTCAAAATAGTACAGTAAACTTCGTACCTAAATTAACAAAGTGGAAAATGAAGAGTTTCTCATCAGTTTCTTTATCCCTAAATTAGTAATTGAGTACTGTATCTATATCTTTTAAAGAACAACTATATATTTCCGAGACAATAGTACAATTTAAGGATTTGATGTTCTAGTCCAGAAACAATTCGATATATTGTGGATGAATAATAATTTTTTTCTTGAATTATCAACAGAAAACAGTGAAGAAGACGAGGAATTGGAAGAAGAGCAAGATGAGGACTATTCAGGTAAAATTTATAATTTAAATATGTATCTTCACTATTTCTGAACCGCACCAGTTACTTTACTCCTTCTTGAACAATAATTGTTTGCATAACGAACCACCCGCTCCTTCTTCGTTTCATTAGATTCAGACCGAGAAGAGGGTTTCTTAGACATGCCAAAGGAAGACGTTACTTGTGGTAAACATTTCTTCAGTCTGACAAAAAAATGTTGCAATGGCAAAGTGGTCCCAAAGAAATTCATATGCCTTAGTCTTCCCCTGAAGTGTGGTTGGCGTCGCTACAACCCAAAGACCCACCGATGCTGTAACCTCGGAAAATTGCGTAAAGTCGTTCCACGATATGCAATCTGCCCTAGTCCTCCCCTAACGTGTGGTTTGCGTCGCTACAACCCAAAGACCCACCGATGCTGTTACCTCGGAAAATTGCGTAAAGTCGTTCCACGATATGCAACCTGCCCTAGACCTCCCCTAACGTGTGGTTTGCGTCGCTACAACCCAAAGACCCACCGATGCTGTTACCTCGGAAAATTGCGTAAAGTCGTTCCACGATATGCAACCTGCCCTAGACCTCCCCTAACGTGTGGTTTGCGTCGCTACAACCCAAAGACCCACCGATGCTGTTACCTCGGAAAATTGCGTAAAGTCGTTCCACGATATGCAACCTGCCCTCGTCCTCCCCTAACGTGTGGTTTGCGTCGCTACAACCCAAAGACCCACCGATGCTGTTACCTCGGAAAATTGCGTAAAGTCGTTCCACGATATGCAACCTGCCCTAGACCTCCCCTAACGCGAACGTGTGGTTTGCGTCGCTACAACCCAAAGACCCACAAATGTTGTGATCGCCGAATACTCACTCCCTTATATCGTAGTTGCCCTCTGAAGTACTAGTGGTTTCCCACAATCCAGTGATCTGCCAAGTACCTTGACCAGAAAGTCAACGAATTTTTCCTCGTGGGAGTTTTCATGAAAAGTAACAATATGGGTAAAGCCGCACTACTCTAAGTAAAACTTAAGAGCAATTAATGTCCTAATCTGACGACGATGCTAATGTTTAAGACATTTATGTAATGTTCGGTTGAAATAAACTTAAATGCTTTCCTCATTAATGTGTTGTTGCTGTTATAGAAATGAGGGGTTTCTCCATCAAATTTTACTTGCAAAATTTCCCCAGAATCCTTCCTTCGTCTCGGCCAGACGTTACTCACTTCGTTCATTTTTACATGCAGCTCTGAATTTGTAACTACATCGGGGTTTAGCCTTCCTTGGTCTATAAGCGTGTGAACATTAAATGGCCGAGAAGTTAACTTCAGCACTATCCTGATAGAGATCACTAACTTGGTTCTAGTCCTTCTCTTCTGGCCCTTCCTCAGCGAGCAAAGACAAATTATGCTGTAAACTGAATATGGCTGAACAAAGCTATTAGTGCGTCGTGGTTTTCACAATTGGTGGGAGACATCGTGCTAAGGATCAGAAAATAAAAATAATAACCCTAAAACAAGGATGACTCAATTTTAGTTTTATGTAGGTTGTTTTTCCTGTTTCAGAGTTGGAATGCGTCGTTGGCTAGGAAAAAAAAATTAATATCCACAATTTTAAAGTTCTTCATCTTAACTGTGAGAACCCAGTTAAATGCAGTGACTACATGAGAAAGCTTTGGTGGAGATGCACTTTGTTCCCTGGCGAAGCACATCCTTTTCTAGAATTTGTGTTAAACAGCGGTTTTGATTGTTGATTTCTAACAATACTAATCAAAGTATTCATCACTTTTAGGGTATGCAAAAGAAATCGGCTAATCTTTACGCTTGAATGTTCCTCGGTCAAAAAGTGTCATTAACCCAAAAAAACATCCAACAATCAGTAATGACCTTTTAACTACACAACACAAACAGGTGAGGCTCTCTGCTTCCCTTTTCATAAAGGGATGATCGGAAGATATATGTTTTGGCGGATATTGGGAGATCCTGAGTCTAGGAAAGTTCTCTATAAGAGTCGGCGTCGATCGGAACATAAGAGAGTCTGTAAAACTAAAGTTTACTACGGTAGGCATCTACCTCGACTAGGGGTCAAATGAGTGGCCATTTGACAACCTTAATTTTTTGATATTGGAAAAGAAGACTGTTGATTGATCAATCGTTAAATCCTGCTCAGAGCTGACCTTCGAGCAAGTTATTGAACTGGATGGAGTTTTAAGTGTAACTTTACTTCAAAACGCACGAGCGATAGCCAATTTGTCTCCCTTTACTAGTTTGCCTTTGTTTGTCTAACCAAAAACCGGCTGAAACTATGGAAAGAAAAGGATGTAAGGGGAACAATATAGCTGCCTGATTAGTCGAGAGATGTAACTTGGGAATGAATGGTAGAGTAGTAGTGCGAATGTTGTTAAAAGTGTTATAATCTTTATATAATATATAATATATAATATTATTATAATATAAACCTTTGAAGGCAGAGAAAAGCCCAATAAATCTGCAGCTAAAATCATTTGCGTTCTCGTGTAGAGGTTCAGTGTTAATCGCATGCTTCGTTCTACTTATGCACGGCTTTAAAAATATCGATCTCAAGACTTTTCATTGGCTTAGCTATCATGGGCTATGAGCCACTATACCATGCCCTACAAATGTGTTACGTTTAGGCTTAAAAACATAAAGTTGGGAAGTTTTGTATACATTTTGGGGTGTTTTTGATAACATAATTTTCCCACCCGTGCCTGTTGGATATGAGATGATTTTCGCCAACTAGGCCTTATCTCAGATCCAACGCGCGCTCCTAGAAAAATTGTGTAATATTCCTCTTAGCATGCATGCGTATCAAGGAGTCGGATACCAAATTAGTTTTACGGAATATACATTTTTCTTCACGTAAGTGAGTACAATACTCGTTTCCATAAGGAATTATCAGCCCAATGATGTCAAGCTGAGGCCCTTTGAGGGAGTGGGTTGCCACTAACTCTCCCAAAACACCGAATGCGCTGTCGAACATGGTCAAAATGAAAACTGCTCGTGTGGAACGGAGGATTCTAATCGACATTATTTCCCACCGGAAAAAGTTATTTAAAAGGCTTGAAAGCAATCACGTTAATTAATACTGTGACCAGACTTGTTTTACAAACGTTACGTAGGCATTTTGATAAAGTAAGGAAAAGACACAATTTTCACAATTCCTATCGTTCTAAATCAGGGCATTATTTCAAACTATTACATGCCATCAATTAAGATGACGATATTTCCTTAAAAGGTGTGTGTAATTGCAAGGCCTGAGAGCTAGTACATTTATTCATACCGCGACCAAACCTTTCCAACAATCATTGCGTGTACATAGGTAATCGCAAGGAATTAACAGAATAACGAATGAATATTTTCAGAACGGGGCACTATTACATTATATAACAGAAACTGAAATAAAGCGATTGACAGAGAGTAACAGTAGATGAAGGAATCAGGATGTTTTCTGGTTAGTGTTGGTGACCGTATCTGTTGCTAAAGGAATGATTTAAATTATTTTTACTTGACTTTCTAGAGTTCTTGTGAAGTTGACGTTCCATCTTAGGGTAATTGCGTTAAACGTAGAGTGATTTTACAATAAAAAAAATTCGCCTGTTTCGAATGAGAAGGTCATTTTCTCAAAATTTACCCCCACGAGTCAATGATTCTACAGAAATGTACGTTCGTTCAAAGTATCTCACGAAAGTAGTTCGTGGAAGTAGTACTTATGACATGAACTAGAAAACCTAGGAGGTGCATTCATTTACGACATGATTACTTTGAATCACAATGGCCACACTGCAAGCGGAACAAGTGACAAGTAGATTCCATTTACGCAAAATTGCTGTTATTGGTGAGAATAGAATATAAGGTCTCAAACGTTTTCTGAAGATAAGTTTTGATATACAGTTTTAGGAACTCTTCACGGTGGACAATTTCCATCATCAACTCAGTTAATAAAACCAAACTATCTAGAGATATAGAAGGCCTTCAGGAGCCATAAAGATCGATACCTTGTGCCTTTTTGTAGCATCTTTGTGTTGGCGTACAAGAGTACCGACGTATTGTTAAAGCCTTCCAGTTTTTTATTGTTTATTTGATTCCACGCGAATAGCGACGAATTTTCGAACAAAAAAAAATTAATAACTAACAATATAAAGCTGCAAAAGAATAAGCAAATACTGCAAACTAATGCAATTATCATTCAGACAACTGCTCTCACTTTCACTGTTAAAAAAAGCTTATGGCAATTCGCACGCAACAAAATTAAGGACACGCTAAACGGGCTAACCACTTATTTTGAAAACATTAAAGGAAGAAGGACTTCTAACGTAGCAGACAGTGTGATAAACGATCGTGAGTGAGATATCCTTTGAAAGTACATTTTTTACTTCGTTTTATAAAATACGTGATTAACTTTTCTCCTATAATACGCTCTTCCTTCTAGTCCTGTTCAGGACGGTCTTTTTAAAGCAATAGCATAAATCGCGTACGCCTGAAAACTGGTCAAGGTACCAATCTTGAAACTCTTAAAGAAATATTAAGTCTACAAAAGTGATTCACCCGCAAGCGCGAGGCTGCGAGAAACACGCACACATTCATAAATTCAGGGGCCGCCCACATTTCCTGAAGCTTTTTCCACTTCACAGCTCCAGTGTCATAGCTCTAGTGTCAATAAAAAATATTGGTGTCAATGTATGGAAGGTGTTCGAAGTACAATGTCAATTTTGCAAGGTGCCCAAAACTGACTTGAACTGAACATCAACTTGTGTCAAATTCGCTTTCTGATAGCAGTTCAGTTTGGATATTAATCCTTTTTCCTTGCAGCTCCTGCTTTGCCTCTCTGGTTTCTTAAAAAGAGCATCCATCCATCATTCATCATTCGAAAAAAAAACAGAGTTTCTTTGTGTTAGACACTTTTCGATTGGTGTGACTTCAAACAAATGTTTTTAAAGAGCCAATACTCACCAACTTCATGGTTCTTAAGGTTTACTTCCTATTCACTGCACGATTCTTGGATCAGTTTAGAAGCCACTGGCTACATCAGCACGTTGAAGGGGAAAAAATATGCAATAGGAATGATAAATTCACAGACAATACCCTCTCAAGAGAAAACTCTTCCTAAGTTCGAAGAATCAATTATGGAAAACATTTAACAGTAGGTAAATCTAATAGTTTCGTAGGGCTTCATTTGAATGAACCCTTCGTTAAACTTAGTTTCAAAAAGATTTTAGCGGAATGGAACGGAAAAACGAAAGCCAATGTCCCAGTCGTCTTAAGAACGGGAACTTCGAAGAGAACCGATCATCATCACCATTCTCGACATTTTACCGGAAACTATCGCCATAAAAATAAAGTGCAAAGTATCAAGCGCATAACACAGGCACATGATGAGGAAAAAGATAACCTTATCGGTTTCAGAGGAAAACAATGACATTTTGCCTATAATAAATTTTTTAAAAAATCGGAGAGGCTTAACGACGAAGTCTCTGGCCGCCACTGGCATGTGGTAAATTTACAAAATAACGAGGTCTACCGCTTTGAATTTGAGCACAACCACAGGTGTTAACCAACACTGTTTTCGTCAGTAAGCTTAGGAACAGCGTTTTTTGTTGCAGGAGATTTTAAAAACACGCCTTGGCAGACATCTTGGGTTCTTTCTGCTTGGTTTATCGATGTGGGCAGAGCGCTGGAAAAATGATCGCTAAGCACGATATTATATTGCTTGCTGTATCAAAGCATGCCGTAGTAGTAAAGTTTATTTTAAAAAATTTCTTTGGCAGTAAGTTCCAAATTTAAAATCAGTGAGTAAAAAAATGAGACTCAAACAAGCTGTTAGATTAAAGCTACCTCGGAGACATGGAAAAACTAAAAAATCGGCTTCATAATGGAACCTGTGAAGAGTTAGAAAAGAAAAAAAAAAGTACATAAAAACAAAAGCCTCGACCTACAGCAAAGCAAAGCTTCACTGAGTATAGATTTAAAAAATGAGTCGGGGTTTCAACTGTGCGTGTCAAAAAAATCCGATATTGTTCAAGTGGGATGGCGTCACTCTTCTTCAAATGTCTCAATGACTTCGGTCCCAATATTT